TCCTTTGCTCTGTCTGGTCCCACCTTCATACACTTCTAAAGGTCATGCTTAAGTCATGTGGACAAGAAATTTACTACATTGCGTTTGTTGTTGTACTGTTATTTTTATTTATATTTTTTAAAAAATCAGAACTGTAATAACTGTACCAGTGGCTTTTTAAAGAGAAGAGCATGCTCATCTCACTGTTTTATTTTAATTAAGAATCACCAATACTTGAAGATGAAATTCTAAATATTGATAACCGTTCTCTCTTCCTTTTCGCTGTTCATCTCCTCCCAACAGCATAAATCTGAAAGTAAAGCCTGTTTAGGCTTCCATCTTGCCAGTTAACCTAAATATGTACTTAAGGGTGAAACTCAATAAACCGTCCTCCTCAGAAGAAGGATGCAGGCTAAGAGCTCTTCCACAGGCACCTAGACACATTTACATCGGAGAATGGCTATTTAAAGGCAGTTGGAAGCTCATTTGTCCTAAAAGTGTGGTCTTCTTCGCGGATGGATTGAAGAGCCTGAGGAGCTCTCCCTATGTTCTACTGCCACCTTGGCAAATCAGAAGGATTTACAACGGAATTCTTCACGCCGAGGTCTGGAAGCTGCTTGCTTGGCCTCTCAGGACTGCAGGGCTCAAGCAAGCATTTGGAATGACTGCTGTTCACATTGGCTTGGAAGTGTTGCGGGGCGGGGATGGGGGGGGGACGTTGGCATCTATTCTGTGGAAAAGCATGCTTTTCTTTCCTTTTAGAAACAATCCGGCTTCAGCAAGATCTACTTGTAACTCTCAGAGCACTCTAACAGCTTCCTGCTTCTTTAGTGCAGAACAGAGCCCTAGAAAGCGATGCTGTCCTTGCACTGATCTGGGTTTGCGCTCACATCAGTCTTGGCTCATTTTAGTGTGAAGGTTGCAGGAGAGGCGCCTCAGAACGATTTTCTCGGGACTAAATTTCTTTTCAGGGTCAGCGAGATGGTTCTCTGCTATTTCAGTTAACTTCCTGGAAGTTCTGAATGCAGTGCATAGGGAAAGCTGTTTACTAAATCCAAGCAGGAGTTTATTATTTGTTTAACCTGTTCCAGGGGTCAAATCGCCCTTAAAACTGACCTGCTGTTTCAAGTCCACCCCTCCCCGCCCGCTTTTTATTTCCCTTTTCTTGCCTATTATATGTTTAGCATTTTTATTTTTGCTCCCCCTCCCCCCGCCGTGTAGCTACACTCCAGCCTTTCCCTTTCTGTCCATTTCCCCAATCACATATCAATTTCCTTCTTTTTTTTTTTCTTCTCCACTGGGTCTTCAGGTGTCTTAATCTTTCTTACTTAAGTGATGTCATTTAGTTTACACTGGCCTCAGATGGATAGGTGGGAGGCGGCTGTCCTTGTGATTTCTTTAAAATTTGCCTGGAGTGGGTGTGTACCCTCCTCCATTTCTCTCGCACTGCACTCCGAATTCTGTTAAGAGTTAGAACTAGATCAGAGATTTCCACGTCTTCAAAGCGCAGCTGGGAAAGGAAATGATACCAGGGGCGGGGGGGGGGGACCGAGAAATAAGGGAATAAAAACCAACTTTTCTGGCAACTTCAATAAATCCGGTAACTGGAGGTAAAAAATAGATTGTGAGGGCTGGGTCTGGTCCGGATGAAACGCTAGGCTCCTTCCCAATTCCTGAGTCTGGCTCGCAAAGAGCGCCACTGGCATCTTGCCACGCGAGTGCCCCTAGACAGCCACACGCCCACTGGAACTGCACGTGAACAAAGCCTTTGCCCGGAGAACCACCGCCTGCGGTTTCTCAGTGCAATCTAGCTTCTCTCGGGAGTGTAGGGTGAATACAGGGTTAAGCTAGTTCCCTCCTCAGCAGGAGGGAAAGGAGGGGGAGGGGGAACGAAGCGTTCTGCCTCGCAGGGTACTCTGCAGTTAGTTGTACAGTTGAAAGCGGTAGCCATCACTTGTGAGTTTGGCGTCATCCATTGTCACAACCGAGGAATGTGCGCTGGGAGATAACACCAAGTGCAGGGCCTCTCAAACACGCAGAGCTCGCTCTGCTTCCAGGTGCGCTCCTTTCTGGTCCTCCGTCTCCAGTTTCCTGCAGCTGGAGACAGCACGTCTGAAACCGTCACGGCGTCCACGGAGCCTCAGGACCAGGGTGGAAGTTCTCAACGATGGGCAGGAGGGACCTCGGCGGCGACCCCTAAAACAATACCATGCCCGGGGAGTCCCTCTGCTGCCGCTGTGCCAGCTTCTTCCCTTTCCACCTTCCCGACCCAGTCGAATTCGGATGAACTAAGGAGACGAGGACACCAGGTAAAGGGATTGCAAAGCCAGGCGAAGTTTCTAGTGGTTGTCTTAGCTTTTCTTAAGTGGGCACCACGCTATCTGGGAAGATTGATTGTTTTTCCTTTTTTGAACAAGTGGTGGATGGTCGTTGGGTGGGAGTTCTAAGTATAGGCTTTTTTTTTGGTCTCTCTCTTTCTATCCCGACTTGGGGATACTCTCAAGTCGAATCCACGTCCTTTAGGGGTGTTTTGTGACTAAGTTGTGGGGGTAAAAACGCTCCCTTGCTGCCTGCCAGAAACATCGATCCTAAATGGAGTTTTCCAAATCCCCCATGCTTTTCGAACTCCAGCTTCCCATTTCCCCTAGAACGATTCTCTTAAGTCCGGTAAGTAGCAACCACCCCTACCCGTCCCTGTTGAATCCTAGGAGTAATATTTGTATCTGAAGCCTCTACCCGCCCTGTGCCCCAAATCCGGGATTAATTAGCTACTAAACTGAGGATGCTAGTTTGTTTTCTTTCCAATCGAGTGTTATTTTTCCAAACCAAGGACCCTTTCTGTTCTGCTCTTGCACTGGGGACTGGCAGTTCCAGGGTTCGTGTAATTGCGCTTTCCTGACTCACCGGCGGGGGATGGAGAAGTCCCCCGGAACTCTATAATCACTTTCCCTGCGCCGCGTGCCTGGGAGGTAGATCTGGGTCCTTCTACCCCCCCTCCCCGCCCCCGGCGTTGAATGCAAGGCCGAACAGATGCCCAAAGTGGTAAGGGCAAGGACCCATCAAGCTGCCCTGAAGTCCCCACCAGACTAGCGACCTCCTGGGAAAGATTCCACTGCTAAGCTACCAGTCCAGGGCTCTTCCTGGAGCTTTCAGCGCCGCCGCGAATCACTTCTGTTTTGCAAACCCTCCACGATGAAGGGTCCGAGCGAGCTAAGGTCTCTGCACTAATCAGGGAAGCGAACATTTAGAAAAGAGTCTGTCTGTCTTGAAAGGACTGGTCCTAAACTTGCTGTTTGGATAAATCATCTTGCCAGTCAGGTCTTGGGCCGAGGCAGTTGCTGCTGAAGGCTACCGCAAGCAATCGCTGCTGTCATCTTGGCGCTTCTCTTCGGAAGCTTCCAAGATGACTCTCACTGTTCCTTCTCCTCAGATTAGAGTCTCCATTGGTGCCCCATTCTTCTTGGATATTTGTCAGGAACACTTCGAGTTTGAAAAAAAGACAGGCTACACATATGTGTTTTCTAGTTGCCTTTGTATCTAAAAAGGACAGAAGTGGCAAGCTCTCTTGGACCTCAGCGGTGTGTGTCAATGTGTGTGAATGCATGTGTCGCGGTGCGTTTGGGTGGATCCTTGTGTGGTCTGGGAGACGAATCGGGCGCATCTCCAAGTCGTTTTACCAGGATTTAAGCGCTCAAATCTATGAAGGCAGCAGACACAACAGCTATGCAAGGAAATAAAAACAATTGGGGAAGTGGTGCCAAGTGACTCAGACTTTGAACCGAGGACAAGGAGTGCGGTCGCGCCTGGGGTTCGTCCGGAAATCATCTCCAGCGTGTTACAGGCAACGCCCTTGCCAAAGTCGTCAGCCCAGAATGCTGAGAAGATCCCGAGGGAGTTGGTCCAGAGCGAGCTTTCAACTTGCAAATTGCCTTTCCTGGGGCCCTACCCACAGCGCGCCTCACTGCAGCCTAAAGCTCGGTGCGTGCTTGTTCTCCCTTTTCTGTTAGTTTTCTCCGGGTCTCCAGACTAGTTAAAACACGATCACAACTTGCTGGAGACTTATGGGCAACAATGAATGGAAGAGCAAACCAGGCTGCCATCCCTTTGCCAAAAAGAGAAAGGGAAAAAATAAAAAAAAATGAGACAGATATGTCTCAGATTTCTTAGATTACTTTTTAACCTTTGCAAAGAGAATCCCAAGTGGCAAAGGTGTGCCAGTTGGACATTTTAACTACGCAGCCTGTTTTCAGTCTTTGAAGCGGACCTTGTCGGGTTGTTCATTGTAATTTCTAGAGACAGCTCACCTACTGATAATCACTCTTTCCAGGAGTAGCCAGGGTGACAGGGGGAAATTGATGTGTTTGTTTAAATATGATGCCAAACTCTAATTCCTCCAATTAAACTTTATGGAAGAAACCTTGATGAGTAGACCTTTGATGGGCTGGGGGTGCGACACATCCCCAGTGTTCCCTGCCAGTAAAATAACGCCATTTTGGTTGAGAGACTTGCTGTATTTTTACCCTCTAATGTTACATTTCGATCATTTTTGAGTCTAAGTAATAGCTCCTCTTGCGTGGACGTACATCGGGCGAACAACCTGGTGGTTTCTTCACCGTTCTGAGAAACTGAGAGTAGGGAGGATGCCTGAGGCTTAGAGAGAGAGAGAGAGAGGGAGAGGCGCGGTGCTAGGTCAAGTTGGCATTCCTGGGTTAGCCGGGTGCACGTAATTCTCTCCAGGGAGGACAGGGTTAAAAGCCCCATCTGACTTTGCCTCTTGGAAAGCTTAGGGTTGCTGCGGCTCCTCCCAAGCATTCTTTAAACCAGAGAAGTGGGAGGGACTCGGCTTGGGAGGGAGGAGAAGAGGGAGGCCAAGAAAGAGGGCTCGAAGAGGGGAGCGCGCCAGAGCACGAGGGACCGAGGGAGAGGAGGGGCGTGCAAGCTGCAAAGCCGACCCTGCGAATTCATTACAGTAAACATCTCCCGGGGGTGTCAGGAGGGGTGGGGGTGGGGACCTCGGCATCTACATTAGCGGACCCGGTCCGATCAAGGCAGCAGTGTGGCTGGAGCAGCCTCCAGACTCGCGCCCCGCAGACGCTGCACTTGGAGTCAGCCCCGCGCCCGCCCCCGCGCAGCCCGAACTGCACGCCCTGCTGCGCGTGGTCCGCACATTCGCTGCGACCAAACGCCCGCCCGCCCGCCCAGTTCTCCCGCCGACTCCCGCGGTCCTCTGTCTCAGAGAAGTCCCGAACTCGACCGGGACGCTCTCCACCGCCCTACTAGATCGCTCTACTTTATTCGGGGTACAGGGTGGAGAGGGGTGAGACGGAAGAGAGGACACCCGGAGCTGTGGCAGCCGGAGCCTAGATAAAGTGGCATGCTGGACCCCTGGAGGCGGAGGTGGCGGAGGACGGAGGAAGACGATGCCGCGGCTCCGTAGGGGACGTAGGCGACTACAGGCAAGGCGAGCAGGGCGCTTGGGCGCCGGCAAGCTGCCGGGAGGTGCGCACCGCTCTGAGGTTCTGGCCTCAGCTTCCCGGAGCTCCGACACAGCCAGAGACATAGCTGGATTGCAGCAGCCACCGCCGCCACCTGGAGGACCGAGCAAAAGTTTGGATCTGGGGGAGGGCTTTGCGCTGAGCGGGATCACCAGCAGGGCTGGAGAGAGACCTGGAAAACCTTAGCAGGTAAAAGCGCACCCTTAACCGTGTCCCCTCCCCCCAGGCTTTGGATCCTTTAGGTTCGACTCAAAGTAAGACTGGGGCCAAGTTCAAGGTCCCAGAAATGGGTTTCCAGCGCTGGCAGTTCGACAGTCATGTTAACTGGGGATGGGAATGGGAGCCTGTGGCGGCGGGGGTGGGAAGTGTCTTGGTGTTTCTTCCTGCCAGATAGGCAGCTGTGTAAATCGACCCCCCACTCTCAGTGGAGGAGAACCGTGGGCCCCAGCTGGTGTCTGATTCTGTATAGTTTGGAAATTTAGAAAGTGTATTCAAGGACTTTTAAGTGTGCCTGAATCCATTGTGATTGATGGATTTCATTCACCCCATTCTCTCATTCTCTCAGCCCTGTTTAATATAAAAAGAAAGGAAGCTTACTTTTGCTTGCCTGCTTCTCGCAGTCTTCTCTGAATCTTAGATTTAGAGAGGGGTATGAATATTGAAAGCAAAGTGGAAAAAACATCCTCTCCCCCCGAACCCCCCCGACCCTTTGACATCCTCGGAGTCTTCCCTAATTTCATTCATCTTCTGGTGTCATAAAATATGAACTATAAAAGTCACATTTTCATTGAAGGACAATATGAAATTTGGCTAATACGTTAGCCTTTCTAGCTCTAAATTTGTGTATAGTAGGGGAAAGAGAGACAGGAGGAATGGGTATGGATGTGTCTGGTATGTTCCACTGCCTGGGGTTAGTGATGTTACAGGGAGCACCCCCCCACACACACTTTGGTCTGATGCTCAGTGATGTGGGTGAACTGAGAATGGCTTCATGTGGGCGAAGAGGCTAGGGTACCAGAGGGAAGACACTCACAGTTCTGAATAGCAGCTCCACGCACTTCAGCTAATAAAACAGCTTCTCCTTGCTCCCAGGGCAGAAAAGATTCAGCACCACCACCACTTAAAATACTATAGAGTTTTGAAGCAGCTCTTGAGGGCCCTGGTATCATTTTTATTATGATGATCATTATTAATTCTGCTGGAACCTCAGTACATTCTCTGAATGAAAACCATCTCTTGGAGAGCTTGTGATTAGTTCTAATAGAGGGACTCTCCCGTTAAGCTAACAGTAAACTAATCAAGTAAATGCAAGGCGAAAATCCCTGTAAATGCAAGCAAATGCTTCTCCAGGGGTACAGGGTGCCTATCAGATTTCTTTGCATGCTGTGTCTGCCATGCATAGCCTCTTGTAAATGGGAGCCTTTGCTCCCTATTCAGCTGGGAGGCTACTTAAATCACACAGGGCTCCAGTGAGCTTCAGAGCATGTCCACTCGCTTACAGGATTATTGCTAAATTTATTGTGCCTAGCTTCCCCCAGTCCAAAGCTAATATGAAGGACGGCTTCTGTATCAGAGTGGGATCCTCTCTAGTCCTACCTGGTATGACCTTATTAAATAAGCCAAGAAGCATCTTCCCCAAAATTGGGAGATAAATAGGATGCCAGGTTGGCATTTATCCAGTGCTTTATTTGATTGTTGCCGTATGGATATGCATTTTCAGGTCCGAATCTGAAGTGCTGGAACTGGATTATGTCTTTTAAATCATCAAGGATATTTACCAGATACATGTGGTTTGGCTGACCACCATATTAGAGGAGAATCAATCTTTGAGGAATATGTGCAGCAAGGAAAGTTGCCCGTTTGTCTGTTTTACCTGTCTTATTCCCCCTGAATGTGTACATCTTTTCTTCTCTCATCTCCTCATTTTTTTTTCTCCAGAAGCCTGAGGAAATCAAAACAGGCTAGAGTAAACCATTTAAGCGTCTTTACTAATGACTGCTGATGGTACAGCACCACATTGTCATGTCAAGTTGCAAATATATTTGACTGGAGAAAGTTGGGAAATGTGATTTCAAACGTTATCCATGTGTTGGATAGTAGAAACACAGAGCTGTAAAAGGAATTGGGCCAACAATGCTATTGTAGACCTATCATAGACTTACCACAGGAGAAATGCTAGACTTTTTGTGTTCTTCCTTTCCATCCCTTTTTGTTTGTTTGTTTGTTTTTGGTACCTACTTAGGTAGTTTCACTTTAAAGGAAATAAATTTTGCCATGCTGGCCTACTCTGGGGTTCCTAGAGCAGTTGTGTTTTTTTCCTGTGTGCAAGGTTTGAGATGTTGTGATCATATCTGAGTTTGAACGTCTGGATCTCGTTTGAACCTTCTCTGATGCACTTTACGTTTATTCTGGCCTGCTGGATAGCTTGACTTAGGATTTAGACCAATATTCCTAAAGCAGCGATTAAGTTTCCCTGTTTGAAGCTGTGGTTTCAAGTATGTCCACAACCAGAGTATTCTGTAGAGGCTCAGCTGGAGCATCTGATCTGATTTGACTCTTCAGCTCTATACTTTTGAAAGGAAGAATGGCTCCTGTGATCAGCAGTATCTTGGGTTCAAAATAAATAAATAAATAGAAAGAGTGAGAGCGCTCAGAGATTTTGCTGTCTGTTTGGAATATTCCAGTAAGGTGAAGGTGATGAGCATTGATTCTGTTTGGTTCATGCTTTTCTGGACAATCATCTTTTGGTATATTTAATTTTAATTCAAGTTCCCTCTCTCCCCCGCACACACTGGATTGCTTTAATAACTTTGTGGTTTCTGCCACACTGATTCAAATTCAGTCCATTAGTGACCTCTATCTGTGAGAAGTGAATACTCATTGTTTTTCTTGCTTCTCATCAGCATCTGCAGACAGATGATGAGTGTCTGGGGACCTACCAACTCCATAGATCTTTCTGAATATTTCATATTTTTTTCTAATTTGATTTTTCTAATACAGAGTTCAGTGCAGATAATGATATTTAATAACAGTAATAAATGTTATCAGGGAACAGTACTACTAAATAGTTTTTCCATAAAGCATCGACAATATGATCAACATAAATTAAATCCCAGCAGAATTGCACACTCAAGGCTACTGTTATGTTGAGACTCATAATGCTGCTGAATGTCTGTGAAATTTTATTGCCCCCAAGTGCTTACATAACAAGGGAAACTGGAGACAGGCCCAGAACATATATGTGGTAACTGGACTTCTTACTTGCCGTATGCCTGCTTCTTTAAATTCAGCTTGGCTTCTGCTGTGAACTTAGGTGCAGATGAGGGACTAGGTGGAGTACGAAAACGATATCTGTAAACAAATGGTCTTTTAAAGAGACTCTAAAAGCCTGACTCCTAATCCAGCTGTATCTTCTGGGGCTTTTCGAATAGAAATCCAAATTTTAGTTGATTATTCAAAATGTTAATTGAAGCCAAAGTTTTCTGCACTTCTTAACTTTAGTGGATATCGTTATGTGACATTTTCTACATATTTTTCATGTAGTGGTGTTTTGGATTTGGAGCTTTTAGGAGTTTTTCTTTCTTTTCCCTTGTACAGGTTTTATACAAGAGACATTTTTAAAGACCAATTATTGTTATTACTGAAGTTAAACAATTATAGTATTATAATATCCCCACGGGCTTCCTTTCCTTATTGTTCCTGCCCTCCTTTATTTGCTTTTGAGAAATCATATTTTTCCTCTACAACTACATGTTGAGGGTAGGAGCAGTATTATCAGTGTGTTGTGATCTTCTTTAATAAAAACTAACCTCCAAGTTTATAATAAAATATACACACATACACACCTCAATAGCTATTTTCAGATATTATTTTCAAAAATCAAAGTATGTTTCTTTTTTAAGGGCTATGACACTAATATTGTAATAGGAATACTCTGTGTTCTGATGAATACAGAGGCTTATTTCAGTCTCGTGAAACAGTAAAACACTGTATTAACAAAATAATCAGTGATATTTTGAGTACATGGTCAAAATCTGTTAGAACCTTCATGTTTCTTTCCCTTTTCTTTCCTTTTTTTTTCCCTACCCTTTGGCGAATGTCACATCTACTGGTCCTTTTGGTTTTCTTTGTTTCTTTCTACTGTGGCTCTTTGAAGTGCTTCAAAATTAAACAGTAGCTACTTTTTAGGGAAATTCATCATGGTATGTTCTGGATTCCAGGAGAGTTAATGACGCAGAAAAAGTCCTGTAAAACATCTTTGTAAAAGAAGTCCTTCTCTTGAAGGCTTCCTACTTACTGGCCTCCTGTACCATTTGCAGTGAATTGGAACTCCGTTATTTATTTTTCAAATACCACCTCTAACTTAATTTAATGTGGGATGTGTTTCTGCAGAAGTGTGCATTTGCCTTGTGTGTCCCGAGTCCCTTCAACAAAGCAGTATCATTGTTACCAAACTGCAATAAGGGAAGGTCACAGAAAATCCTCTGCTATAATTGAGGAAGTCAGAAGGCCTCATTCACAATTCTCAAATGCTGGTCAGTTACTCTGCTGATATTTAATAAGGACATACATTTTTCTCCCAGCAACTTAGTGGTTAAAGACTTCAGCCGTTTTTGGAAGCATTCACATAATAAGACTTTGGAGCTGCAAACATTTCCTTGACGCTTCTCATTTTCTTCTTGTGTTGATTTTAGAGGAATGTGCAAGAAATTTGAAAGCAGCCTTCTGTTGACCTAAGTTTTTATAAGTTTATAGGTCCTGTTGCTCATTTCAATCATATTGTTGTATTTCAGCTCTTTTTGTCCAGGCTTTCATAAAGATAAAAGAACTCCCCATGTGAATTGTTGAAGAACCTGAAGGGTTTTGGAGTTAAGCCTACTGAAAACTAGGAGGTCTCGAAGTTCATAGATGCCCGTGGTCACTGAGACCACCTTTTCGGGGAGTGAAAGAGCAGTGGCTCCTGTGTCGACTCACGAATACACTGCTCACCAGAGTCCACCCAGGTCACGTGGCCAAGTGGAAAACATTAGATACATATTAGTCCTGAAATAGGTTCACATGTTGGTGTCACTCATCCCCAGCAGGTTGTGGGTGTCACTTTCATGAGAATCTCGGGTCAAGGCAACCTTTGTGAGCGTTTCCTATCCGACTTGGCTCCCCAACTTGGATGCAGATGCTTGGGTAAAGAA